TACAAGAGCTATGTAAATCAAGAGAAAATTCATACATTTTTGTTGTTGTTGTTTAGAAATTTATAAAAAGTTGTTTAATATTTCAGAAAGTTATATAATTTGGTAAGGCTGCTCCAATAGTCTGGAACCAATAACATATTTCTATCTAGCTGCATCTGTGTCATCCTCATTAAAATAATGCTATAGATAATATATGACTCCTACTATAGCTATACCTAAACACTTACATATTAAAACTCATTATGTTCGGGCTGGCAGATGGTGTGGTGGTTAAGGGTGCTGGACTCCCACATGGCCGACTGCAGTTCGAGACCTGGACCTGGCGGGTTACCTTCTCTCTCTCTCTGTCCCTCTCTGTCTCTCTTTGGTCAAATTAAAATAAATGAATGAATGAATGAATGAATAAAGTTCAGTAAAATAATTCTTAAAAAAAAAAAAAAAAAGACAACCTGAGTATGTCCACTCGCCAGAGAGAAAGAGAAAGAGGGAAATTGAGAAATCACTCTCCGGGGAGTGAGAGGGGGGCATGTTGTAATCCTTTCTCCTCCATTCACCTCTCAGGATTTTGGGCATGCATGCACACATACCTGGAATAATCATTATTAATTATTATTAATAATTAAGTTGCTGAGCTCAGAACTTGAACTGTGGTCAGCCATGTGAAAGTTCAGCGCCTTAACCCCTACACCGCTAGCTGGCCCCCCTTCTTCATATTTAAGATTTTATATTTTGGGCAGAAGCTGGGTGGAGGCACAGCAGTAATACAACTGGACTCACATGGGAAAGGTCATGTGCTCTTGTACTAGGTCCTCCCTGAGCACAGGGGTACGTGTGCAGCTGTTCTGGTGATCTGGGCTAACTAATCTGGGGGTGGACTGCCATGTGAGAACCCTGCTGGGGGTGTCTTTTTCTCTCTCATGAGAGAAATAAATGAATAAACCTAAAAAATATTTTGCATTGATTTTTAAAAATTGTACCTAGATATATCTGAAGTTCATTTTGATATAGTTAAGGGGAACTGCAAAACATTTTTTATTTTACTTTATTTTTTAATTTTATACATTCAATCACTATACATCACTACAGCTTATACAGTGAATTTACCGAACATGAATATACTTCACACCAGTCCAGTTGAAGACACTATACATGTTATCATCAACAGATGATCATCCATTTTTGTGTCCCATAAATGTCTTGTCTCTCTATTTTTCTCCTTGATTCCTTTCCTCACACTTCCTCCATTCTCCCACCCTCTTCCAAACTGTCTCCAGTATCCATAACCATTCTCCATGACTCTATATACTCTAATCTTTCAGTTTCCGCCACAGAGTGTGGACAGTCGGTGTATACTAAGTGGAGACATACGAGTCTCTCCTTCATAGTCTAGTTTGCCTCACGGAGCAGTGAATCTCCCATATTCATCCACTTTCTATCAAATGTCAGGGTCTTGTTTTTTTCTTTTTTGAGAGATTTTCACTGTAGGGCATGTGCGCTTGCCAGACAGACAGAGAGAGACATAGAGACAGAAAGCGAGAAATCACCCCCCAGGGGGGATGGTCACGCCGCAATCCCTTCTCCTCCATTCTCCTCTTGGGATCTTGGGCACGCACGCACATGCGCCCGGCGTGAGTTTTAAGCCACTGGGTCCGGGACACGAACCGCGGTCGACTACGTGGGAGTCCAGTGACATAGCCATTATGCTAACTGCTGGTTCCCAGGGTTTTGTTGTTTATGGATGAGTAGTATTCCATAAAGTACATGTGCCACACTTTTTCAATCCATTCATCTGTTCGTGGACATTTGGGTTGGTTCCATGTCTTAGCAGCAAAGTAATTTTAAAATAAAAACAGGATATTATATCTAATGAGAGTGAGAATCACCAGTCAAAGTCAATTAAGGCAATTCCAGTCCTCTTGCCAAAACTGGTGGAACATGGCATGTGATCCAGTTCTGCTCAATGAGACAAGACAGAGAACCCTAGAGGACTTCTGACAGATGATCCCCCTTCCTTTTCATGTCAGTTTGTGAAAACGACGTTGTCAGAAAAGTCATGATGGATTTTTTTCATGTTTTTCTATGCAAATATGTGTCATGGTTTTTCCAACAGCACATAAAAAGAGCTGTAACCCTCTTGCTATCAGCTGAAGGATAAAGTAAGCAAACTGAAGAGGCAGCCCTAAGGGAATCAAAGAGAGGTGAAATTAGAGCCCCAAGACCTTGCACCTGAAGTCAGCCTTCCTTAGAGACTTTTAGATTTGTAATATAATAAAATTCTTTTTGTATGAGATGGAATAGGTGCGTTTCTTCTTTGCAGCTGAAAGCAGTCAAACACATAGGGTGCCTTGTAGAAATGACGCCAGGAGAGAACCGAGGGAAAGCAGTGTAGTGTGCAGCAATGAAAGTAGAAGCTTGCTTCTGCTGATACGTGGAAATCCAAATCTTGATTCTGTAATTTACCAGCTGTGTAACTTTGGACAAATTAAATTACGTAAGCCCTCTGAGCCTCAGCTTTCTTGTTTACAAAATGGAAAAGAGAGGTCAGTAGGTGGCATAGTGGTTATAGCACTGGACTTCCACACAGTGGAGCCATGGTTCAAGTCCTGGACCCAGCGGCTTGAAAATCACACTGGGCATGTGTGCGTGCATGCCCAAAATCCCAGGAGGAGAATAGGGGAGAATGATCTGTGGTGTGGCCATCCTCCCGGGGGGGGGGGAATTTCTCACTTTACCTCTCACTGTCTCTCTGGCAGATGTACATGCCTTAGGAAAAAAGCTTAAAGAAAAAAAATTGGAAAGGAATTCCTGTTTTACACGGCCATTATAAAGATTAATGGACTAATATTTGTTAAAAAAAAAAAAAACCTCTTAACTTGGTGTATGGCATGTTGTAAGCACTCAATAGCTAGGGGCTATTTTTTAAAAAGTTTATTTATATATATCATGAGCGATTGAGAGACAGACACATGAACAGATGACACAGGTACCCTCCACAGAATCTCATCACATAACGATCCCTTTCTCCCAGCTCTCCAGCTAGTCAGAATCCTGGGTGTACACCTGCCCAAAACGTCTCTGGTGAACTTGGATCTGAATCCACAGTCAGCCATGCAGCTTTCAGCGCTACAGATCCATAAACTAGAGACGGCACCACCGAGGCTGGGCCTGTGGGCTGTTCCTAGTCATTGCTATCAGGAGGAGAAAGGAAAAGGACTAATAACAATAAATTAATGACTTTTTTTTTTTTTGGAGAGCTTTTCACTGTAGGGCGTGTGCGCTCGCCAGACAGACAGAGAGAGACATAGAGACAGAAAGCGAGAAATCACCCCCCAGGGGGGATGGTCACGCCGCAATCCCTTCTCCTCCATTCTCCTCTTGGGATCTTGGGCACGCACGCACATGCGCCCGGCGTGAGTTTTAAGCCACTGGGTCCGGGACACGAACCGCGGTCGACTACGTGGGAGTCCAGTGACATAGCCATTATGCTAACTGCTGGTTCCCAGGGTCTTGTTTTTTATGGATGAGTAGTATTCCATAAAGTACATGTGCCACACTTTTTCAATCCATTCATCTGTTCGTGGACATTTGGGTTGGTTCCATGTCTTAGCAGCAAAGTAATTTTAAAATAAAAACAGGATATTATATCTAATGAGAGTGAGAATCACCAGTCAAAGTCAATTAAGGCAATTCCAGTCCTCTTGCCAAAACTGGTGGAACATGGCATGTGATCCAGTTCTGCTCAATGAGACAAGACAGAGAACCCTAGAGGACTTCTGACAGATGATCCCCCTTCCTTTTCATGTCAGTTTGTGAAAACGACGTTGTCAGAAAAGTCATGATGGATTTTTTTCATGTTTTTCTATGCAAATATGTGTCATGGTTTTTCCAACAGCACATAAAAAGAGCTGTAACCCTCTTGCTATCAGCTGAAGGATAAAGTAAGCAAACTGAAGAGGCAGCCCTAAGGGAATCAAAGAGAGGTGAAATTAGAGCCCCAAGACCTTGCACCTGAAGTCAGCCTTCCTTAGAGACTTTTAGATTTGTAATATAATAAAATTCTTTTTGTATGAGATGGAATAGGTGCGTTTCTTCTTTGCAGCTGAAAGCAGTCAAACACATAGGGTGCCTTGTAGAAATGACGCCAGGAGAGAACCGAGGGAAAGCAGTGTAGTGTGCAGCAATGAAAGTAGAAGCTTGCTTCTGCTGATACGTGGAAATCCAAATCTTGATTCTGTAATTTACCAGCTGTGTAACTTTGGACAAATTAAATTACGTAAGCCCTCTGAGCCTCAGCTTTCTTGTTTACAAAATGGAAAAGAGAGGTCAGTAGGTGGCATAGTGGTTATAGCACTGGACTTCCACACAGTGGAGCCATGGTTCAAGTCCTGGACCCAGCGGCTTGAAAATCACACTGGGCATGTGTGCGTGCATGCCCAAAATCCCAGGAGGAGAATAGGGGAGAATGATCTGTGGTGTGGCCATCCTCCCGGGGGGGGGGGAATTTCTCACTTTACCTCTCACTGTCTCTCTGGCAGATGTACATGCCTTAGGAAAAAAGCTTAAAGAAAAAAAATTGGAAAGGAATTCCTGTTTTACACGGCCATTATAAAGATTAATGGACTAATATTTGTTAAAAAAAAAAAAAACCTCTTAACTTGGTGTATGGCATGTTGTAAGCACTCAATAGCTAGGGGCTATTTTTTAAAAAGTTTATTTATATATATCATGAGCGATTGAGAGACAGACACATGAACAGATGACACAGGTACCCTCCACAGAATCTCATCACATAACGATCCCTTTCTCCCAGCTCTCCAGCTAGTCAGAATCCTGGGTGTACACCTGCCCAAAACGTCTCTGGTGAACTTGGATCTGAATCCACAGTCAGCCATGCAGCTTTCAGCGCTACAGATCCATAAACTAGAGACGGCACCACCGAGGCTGGGCCTGTGGGCTGTTCCTAGTCATTGCTATCAGGAGGAGAAAGGAAAAGGACTCACGGCGGTCTGTGCAGTGATGTGAGTGCAACCCACAATTTTGGCTCCGGCCAAGGGCTTTTCTCCTTGAGCTCTCTTCCTTAAGGCCATCAGTGCAGGCATTTCTGAAATGGGCCAAGACATACACAGCAATATCAGAGCGGAGGGAATAACAGGTAGGGGAACAAACATAAACACCTAAGAGTCTTGCCCTGATCGGGCTCTCTGTTAGGTTAGGTTTCTTGAAGAATCAAGACGTTAACTTCGGTTTTGCTCTTATAAGGGGTTTTCTGAATGCCCCATGGTTCTGATTCCCTACATCCCAGTCCCCCTTATCCAGGCTCACTCCCTTTTCCTGCTACAGGTGGCTCCTGACTTACAACGGTTGAACTGAAGGATTTTTTTGCCTTTACAGTGCTGTAAAAGTGATATGTGTCCAGTAGAAACCATATTTTGCATACCCATGCAACCATTCTGTTTTCCCTTACAGCACAATATTCAAATAATTACACGAGCTATTCAACACTTCATTATAAAACAGGCCTTGTGTTAGATGATTTTGCCTGAGTGTAAGTGCTCAATAGTTAGGGGCTATTTTAGAATGTAAGTATTCTGAGCACATTGCAGGCAGGCTAAGCTATGATGTTTGGTAGGTGAAGGGTATTACATCCATCTTTGACTTAGGTCATTTTCAATTAACGATGGATTTATCAGGATATAACCCTATTTTAAGTCAAGGAGCATCTGCATAGGAGTTCCTTCTAGACCCACCAGAGTTCACTCCCTCCCCAGTGTTTCCTAAGCTCAGATTTCTTTTGTTATAAGGATTCAATATTCCTGAAATTGCAAAACCATCAGACCCTAAGATGCTAAAAGAGATTCATAAGGACAAAAAGACACAGGCAGGTTGAGAAGGTGAAAGTGCTTGCTCTCTTTACCTTGCTCAGCAATTTCAATTTCTCTTCGTCCAAACTCCGCCTGTTTGATGTTCTTGACACAAAAGTCGCTGCTTCCTTTAGAGTTCTTTTGCTGCTTGTCCCTGGGAGATGTCTCATCATCAGAGCTGTCTGTATATGAAGCCGCTGGAGTAAAAGAATAAAAAAACTTTCAGGGGAAAAAAAAGGCTTCCTCTAAAATTCCACACCAAAAAGTGAATGGGCTTTTTTGTCATCCGGCATCACATGCGTTTACACTTGTTAAGGGTCTAAATGGTGCCAGGGAGCAGGCTCAGCAATCTCCTAGGGAAAGTGATATCCGTAGGTCAGAGGTGAGCCTGAGATAGGCTGTCAAAGATATTCTCCCTGGGGCCAGCCTCTAGCACGTGGTTAAGGTGGCTGGATTCCACAAGGTAGACTGCAGAGTTCAAGTCTCAGACCAGTGGCTTGAGAAATACACTGTGTTTATGTGTGCATGTCCAAAATCTTGAAAGGAGAGAGAGGAAGGAAAGGGGATTTTGGGTGATCCCCTCTGAGGGGAGAGCTTTCTTTCCCTCTCTCTCTCTCTCTCTCTGTATGTCTCTCCCTTGTCAGGACACATGCCTTTTAAGAAATTAAAAAAAAAAAACAAAAAACGATATTCTCCCTGGGTAGTACTAACTCGGAATTTAGGGCTAACTTTATCTCCAGAACATGCAGAGGACCTTGTATATGCCAAAGAGAGAGGTTATGCCATGTAGCAAGAGGTTAGCTCTCTGGGATCTCAACTACCCTTCTCTGCTGCATAAACCTGATGTAATTTGTGCTTTAGTACAATAATTGAACAGATAAGACCCAGAAAACAAGGAACCCATGGGAAAGCAATTAAGAACTGCACAAAAGTGTCTGTCTGACATAACAGAGCTTTCTTTTTTTAAGCCTGGCTCTGATGAGGCAGACCAATTAGACACTGACAATGAATGAAGTATTCAATGTGCTCTCCCTTCTTGCTGGGCTCAGTAGCCAGGCTTAGACATTTTCTATTCCCAAAGAAGTGAATAAACCCTCTTGGTACAATACGATGCTCTGATAAGCAATTTATTCAGCAATATATACTAGAGGGTAAAGGTTTAAAACGTTGGATCACAGTTAATAGGCAGCTGCTGTTACTGTTGCTTATATGCTCAGCTATAATGTTATTCCCAAGTATATGAAGCTTCCAATCTTTATGTACTTCTGTAGTCCTAATTATCTGCTGGACGACTTAAAGAAATTTATTTCCTTGATTTACATGTGTTTCTGAGAATATCCCTTCCTAACCCTCACAGTTTTCTAGGGGGTTGGGGAGAGTATACAACATTGTCTATAAGCATTTTATATCTCTCAGTGGAATAAAAAATGTTGCTATCATGGGGCAGCAGGTAGAGAGGTGGTTAAGGCACTGGGTCCCACATAGCAGACTACGCTGTTTGAGTCCCAGACCCAACAGCTTGAAAACCATACCAGGTGTATGTGCATGTGTGCCCAAAATCCCAAGAGGAGAATGGAGAAGGGATTGTGGTGTGGTCATCCCCCTGTGGAGGGGGGGATGAGCCTGTGGAGGATGATCTCTCACTTTCCCCTCTTTCTGTCTCTCTCCAATGTGATGGCAAAAATCTAAAAGAGGAAGGGAACCAGCAGTTAGCGTAATGGCTATGTCGCTGGACTCCCACATAGTCGACCGCAGTTCGTGTCCTGGACCTGGTGGGTTAAAACTCATGCCGGGCGCGTGTGCGTGCGTGCCCAAGATCCCGAGAGGAGAATGGAGGAGAAGGGATTGCGGCGAGACCATCCCCCCTGGGGGGTGATTTCTCGCTTTCTGTCTCTATGTCTCTCTCTGTCTGTCTGGCGAGCGCACGCGCCCTACAATGAAAATCTCTCAAAAAAAAAAAAAATCTAAAAGAGGAAGAAGTGTTGCCATTACTTTAAATGGGAGAAAGACTCAGAAGCTCAGAGTGCCTAGGGTTTCCAGTGCTCTGATCTACTTATATCCAGAGAATTAAGGCATTTCTGGGATTTCTCAGCACAGGGTCTGTCTCTGGGAGGGCTGTAAAAGGCAAGTCTAATCTTGCCCAGTTAATCAGGCGTGGTGCTACACACTGTTTGGGCAGCAGGGGCTTGACAGTCTGTCCAGGAGCTGGAAAACTGCCTCAGAGCAAAGTCCTAACACAAGGCCACAGGAAGGAATGCAGACAACAGGGGAGGTGAAGGAACGAGTAAATTCCCAAAAGGACTTTTGTTCTTGAAAGGAGCTAATCTGTACCCGAAGTCTGAGGTTCCACCTCCTACGTGAGTGAAAGCTCGAGGTACTTTTGGAACACAGAGTCCAGAAACACTTTCAGTGTCTGCCTCACTAACCAGTATTCAGAAACGGCTCAGGAGTAGAGGCCTAGGGGAACCAGGTTTCTAGTGCTAGGGAGAAGAAAGATAGTAGCCATCATCATCCTGATCCAAATGTACAGGAAGACTGCTTTTGAAGAAAGTGTTTACATTCAGAATATGTTGAAATTTCAGATTTTTATGCTCCTCAATGACCATTTATATATAGACGCCAGTGTTCTGGAGTTAGACTGGGGTTGAAGTCTCTGTCTCGGTTTCTGGTCGTGTAAGTGAAAGTGATACCAGAACCTTTGGACAGGTTGTTAATTTATTCGTGTTTTCAGTCATTCAGCACATTCAGTGGCTCATTCTACCAAAAAAAAGTTCTTAGGTTTAGCTATAGGGCATGTGTGCTACCTGGAGAGAGAGAGGGGAAGTGAGAAAGTAACCTAACCACTGGGGGAGTGTCACGCTACAGTCCTTTCTCCTCCTAGGATTTTGGGCACACATGCGCACATGCTGGACACGTTTCTCAAGCCACCAGGTCCAGGACTCTAACTGTGTAGCTGGTGATGTGGGATCTAGCCACCTTAACCACCATGCCACTGGGTGGCCGCCATTTGACAAATTTCAATTGTGCATCTATTGAGACTAGGCATGTCTAGGTGCCAGGACAGAAATAGATGGTCCTTATCTCCATGGAGTTTTCAGTTCAGTAGATAAGTCAGACATGAAATAATTATAAAAGTAATTACTGTTTCAATGCAGCTGCACCGTGTGCCATAGAGCAGAAATCAGGATGCTGTAAGACTGTACAACAGGACATGACTTGTCGGAGTTGGGGTTGAGGAGACTAAATAAGGTAATGTAAGTAGAGTGTTTAGTGCAATGCTTCACATAGAGTAATCACACCCTCAAAAATGATACCTGAAATTATTACCTGCTTTTGTATAAATTTTAAATTCAATATCGGATAGGACATTTTAAAACATTTTTATTTATTATTATTATTGTTATTAAATCTGCTATAGAGAAAGAAAGTGAGAAAATAAGCCACTAGGTCCAGGACTTGAACCGCAGTTCGCTATGTGGGAGTCCAGTGCCTTAACTACCCACCATGCCACCTGCTGGTCCCAGATATAACATCTTTAAGGGTTCCTACTCAGCTAGGATTTAGAATGAGAAAGGGATAACACAGATACAGTATTGACTAGCATTTATTTTTCCTAGTTCATCATCTCCTACTCATCTACCAAAGTGGCAGGTGTTTGGATGGCACTGATTAAAAAGGTCAAGTCTACAGTCCTAACTCTACTCAGAATAGCGCTCTGCTCCTATGCCTCTTTAGCTTCTAAAGCTAAGTCAGGAAAAAACAAAAACAAAACAAACAAAACAAAACAACTTTCTCTTAAGAGAAACATTCCAATTGTTGTCTTGAGTTGCCTTTTTATTCTTTTCTCCTTTTTTTTTTTTTTTTTTGGAGAGGTTTTTGCTATAGGGCGTGTGTGCTCGCCAGAAAGACAGAGAGAGACAGAGAGACAGAAAGCGAGAAATCACCCCCCAGGGGGCATAGTCACGCTGCAATCCCTTCTCCTCCATTCTCCTCTCGGGATCTTGGGCATGCATGCACACGTGCCCAGCGTGAGTTTTAACCCATGGGGTCCGGGACTTGAACTGTGGTGGACTACATGGGAGTCCAGTGACATAGCCATTACACTAACTGCTGATCCCTTGAGTTGTTTTTTTCCTCCAACTAAAAGAAAAAAATTGTTTATGCTCCTTCCCTGTTCTAAAAGAACTAGAAAAAAAGAGTATTTTACTTTCCTAACAGTAGCCAACTAATTACAGTTTGTTTAGGGCCAGCTGGTGGCATTGGGTTAAAGCACTGAACTCCCACATGTCCAACTGTAATAATAATAATTAATTAATAAAATAAAATAAATATTTATCTTTCTTTGGAGAGATTTTTTGCGATAGGGTGCATGTGCTCACCAGAGAGACAGAGACAGAAAGTGAGAAATCACCCCCAGGGGGAACAGCCATGCTGCAATCCCTTCTCCTTCATTCTCTTCTTGGGATTTTGGACAGACATGTACATGTGCCTGGGGTGAGTTTCAAGCCACCAGGTCTGGGACTCAAACCACAGTTGGCCACATGGGAGTCCAGTGCCTTAACCACTACACCACCTGCTGGCCCAAAACAAACAATTCTTTAAAAATATATATATAGTTGGGGAGCCAGCAGGTGGCGTGGTGGTTGGAGTGCTGGATTCCATATGGCTGATGTTTTGGGTCCTCGACCTGGCAATTTGATTACTCACTTTCCTCCTATCTCTGTCTCTCTCTGATGACTATAGCAAGTTAAAATAATAATAATAATTGGTTTGAGTCCTGGACCTGGTGGCTTGATTTCTCATGCTCTCTCTCTTTTTCTCTCTCTATCTCTCTCTGGCCAAATTGAAGAAGTAGAAGACAAAATTAAATTAAATAAATCTTAAAGTGTAAATATATATATGTAACTATATATATATAGTTAGTTAGTTAGTTAGTTAGTTAGTTATTTAGTTAAGCTAACCAATGCTTTTCATTGAGCCAAAATGGACTTGTTTTTAAAGTGTCCTTTATACAGTCCTGTTTATCAGGTAAGAACCAAAACTATCTTTTCTAGATTGTACTAATATGTAGACACAATACAGACTCAGATAAGAGAATGTATATTATTATTATTTTTATTATTATTAGTTTTAGATTTTTGCCTTAGGGTTTGTGTGCTCACCAGAGAGAGACAGAGAGAGAGGGAAGAGAAATGAG